GATTTCGGCCCATACAGGGAAATGAAAGTCATAACATTACATCTCTCGGTGCTGCAGTTTTCAGTTTTCGACATGATCTAAGTGCAATACTAACTCTCTGGAGTGTCCCTTTAACATCTATAGTTGTCTTCCTATCATCGCCATGGTACTTTCCTACCATTGCAAACCAACACGTAAGAAACCAATGTGGCTTATCAGTGTTGCATCTTGCACGTTACAAAGAAAAATCACTGTTGCACGTTGTTCTCAAGATGTAAAAAAATGCACATCATGACAGCTTAACAGAAAAGGTGCAGCATCGTATCGACTGCCAAAATAAAGAAGATGGAGGAGAGTATTAATTGTATCTATTCCGATTGCAGATAAAATCCATATTTTAGTGGTTGTTTTTGACGAGTGGTAAAAGGAGCTACATTTTTATTTGTCTATACAGCATCATTCTCCTCTAGAGAATCAGCCGTTAATAAGTGCTGAAACATTATCAGGCAGAGGTGAACAGTAAAGAAAGGATCAGATGTGATCCGCTTGATTTCAGCCAATAAACAATATGGCTGGATTGGACGCTGTACTGATCCTTAGGAAATACACACTTCCCCATCACTTCTTCTTCCTCTATATTATTATCAAAACACACCACAGATTTTAAAACAAAAAACTTCCTGAGTAGCGGGAAAGAACCCCCAGGCAAAATGGAGAAGATATCATTGGCTGGATATTTATCAAAATTAATTGTGCTATTGTGACTTTTCTCACAAAAGTCTGGAATCAACACATCATCACACAATGAACACAAGTAAGTGTGTTCAATGTGTGGAGTGTGTCGCGAACAGGAAGAGAAGGGGGTTGCGCTCAGCCCTCTCGCTGGCATGTGAGAACAGTTTCCCTTTCAGAGGAGAAAAGAGAGCAAGTTAAAACACACACAGGCGCACACACACGCACACAAACACAACAACAACAACATTTATTCAGGAAGCGCTGTCTGCCCACTCAGGAAATTCCTGAGGACAAGAGCTGCTTCCAGGGGCAGGAAATTTCCCCTCAAAAAGACCAAACACACACACTCACACACAAACACACTTTAAAACACATATTCCCTCACAGTAAAATGGGTAATATACGACAGAGAGAAAGAGGGACTAAGGGAAGATGGCGGGGGGTTTAAAGTCATGTACGATAACACACACGCACACATTTAGTCATACACTCGTACACATACACATACACTACACCTACACTACCTCTGGCAAGCCTTGCACAAAGACACAAGATTCACTAACACTCATCCACCCACTCGTACAAGCATGCATAGTGCAAACCCAGCTGTGATCGTGCGCACTCACACACACACTGAGAGAAAGCAGCCAGTCTTGTTTCCATGGACATAGATTTTTTTTTTCATCCACTAAGATATTTCTTCTCTCGCAGCAGCCCCTGTTCTTTTGTAATTCATTCATGTTTATTGTGAAACTGTGGAGCACCTTGTGTTTTAGACCTTTAAATACTTCACTCCTGTCTCACTGACTAGCTCTCAGTTGCGTCATATTTTGAGTGTGGGCACCATGTCGAGCCGTGATGCCTGGATTGTGACTGAATTTAGAAAAAAAACATATCCAGTATTGGTGAGCGTCTGTGCTGCTTCACTGTGTGCTGCTGAAACTGGCCTTTTAGTACTTGTCTCGCTTTTGACACAGAAGAAAATATCATGGGTGGTTGACAACACTCCTCCTCTGCTCGCTGCTAGAAGCTGCACATTTGTCCACTCTCTCAAATACTGCTGGATGATTCATTCAGTGACTTGTTCAATGCCGATTTTTTTAAAGCCACAACGAAATGAAAAGATTTGTGGCCCTGTCTATTTCTTGAGAATGCACATAGTTCATCTGGACAAATAAATCTCGACTCCACATTGGAGTTGTTTCAACCTTTATGACCAATCCCTTTTTCAAGAAGTGAGAGGACGACAAAATCATCCTCACTGCTCGACTCCATTTTATCTCTTACTGAGAATTTTCAGGGTGAATAGAAAAAAGAACACATCAGACTCAGTGTGCAAGGTTTATGCACCTGATGATATTTATTGGTTGGAAAAATATGGACTTGGTGTGCAAAGACCCTAAGAGATGAAAGGATTGACATCACAGTGCTATGATTATGACACTACAACCAGAAGATGGTTTGCATAGCTTAGCATAAAGACTGCAAATGGGACGACAGCAAGTCTGGCTCTAACCGCAGGTATGAAATCCACCTGAAACGCTCCCTAATTGTTTCTAATCTTGTTTGTTTACTTGTTCAAAAACTAAAAGGGCAGGTTGTGTTTTAATGGGGCTGTTGGACGAGTGCAATAACTTCCTTGAGTGTTGTCACCGTGACGTTTCCAGGCAACAAGAATGACTCCAGGAAGTCACTAAAACAAACAAGATCTGGCACATTGCTCATTGACCTTTCGAGGTGTTTATGGGTGGGATTTGGAGCAGTTGAGCAGAGACTGATGCCTCCATGTTTTATGTCCTGCCCTTGTTAGTGAGTTATGACCTTAACATCACTTCACATGTTTACTTAAACTAAATATATGTAAATGCAAAATATGTTTTACTTGGAGTTGCAGTATGATGCAATGCTCTTCATGAGTTTATTTCAAGAAAAGCTGTTCAAAGACTGATGTGGAAAACCTCGTAAAACACAAGAGATAAAAGAAAAGGAAAAACAAGGAAGCAACTTCATACAAATATTTTTAGGAGTACGTAGAAAAGAAGACAACTTCTTCCAAATATGCTTTCCGCAGATGAAGGTGTGTAGTGTGTCTGACTGAAAGGGTTAAAGTCGAGTATGGTAGCATTCTTTAGTGTGAGGAGCAGGCTGCAACTCTCCCCGATCTAATCCACTTCCTCCCCAGGAAATGGAGAAGGCGGATTTCTGCCCACACTGCAATTTCCTCCCTCATTCTTTTTCTTTCTGCCCCCCTCCTCCTCCCATCTCTCCTCCCTCCTCCTTCGCCTCTTTCTTTCTTCCTCTCCCTCCCCCCCCCACACCCTCAGGACAAAACTCCCTCTGAGTGTGGGGGTTAATGGACGGTTTGTTTTCCAGCACATGTGTGTTTAGATAGGCAGCAGGAGAAAGGACAGAGGTGTTTTGGGCTGTGTGAGCGTCTGACAAAGACGTGCCGCTGTCTGTGTGACTGAGAGAGGAGAGTGGAGAAGATTTAAACTAAACACTGAAGAGAGGGGGAAGAGAAAAGAACATTTTTCTGACCTGCAGATGGGTGAGTCATGGCCGTGCAAGGAGCTGTGTTTGAAATGTGAGTAAAACAAAGTGGGACTTCCACGTGTCTGCGGATGTGAACTGACCCATCGGTTTACTCGACAGGAAGCTCAACGCGGACCTGTTGAACGTTCTTCCTTTTTCTGCAACAATGCAAAAAGGGAAGTGGGCTGAGAGAGTTTCCTGTGTCTCATCCAGCCTCAGCCCAGTCCAACACCCCACAAAAACCCTGAACTTCACACTTGCAAGAAAAAAACTGGTTAAATATTGACGGACGCATTGACAAAGCAGCTCAGGTTTACTCTTTGAACATCGACTCTATCTCTTGGCACAGCTCCAGCCCCGCCTGCTCTATGATTGGTTAAGTGACAGTGAGCCGACAAAACCGTACTGAAGCTCCACAGAGCTGTGACGTTGCTTAATTTCGTTTACACCTTTTCAAAACACCCAACACATTTTTCTCAAATGACTCAGTTACAGTATGCTATTGAACTCGGTTAAATGAGTCAAATGAGGTGCAGACAAGGTGGTTTGTACATTTGGTTTGTTTTGATTCAAATTATACACAATTAATATACACAGAGAGCTTATGAACAAAAACCATGACTTCCAATTACATTGTTCACAGGTCACATCAAAAATAAGTTTGATTCTAGCATCATATTTGTCAGATTTGATTTCTTTTATGCAGTTTGAACCAATTCAAATTACATTTACATTTAGTTCTTTGATGCTTTTATCCAAAGAGATTTACAACTGGGGGACGACACTAGTTCAGTACAGTGAGCTCGAGGTAAATATTCAGTACTAACTATGGTCCCTACAGCTCCCTACATATTTGTGTTTGCTAAGGAGTTTATGTTTTCACCCGTCACCCGTTTGTGTGAGAATGTGTTTTTTCTTCTTTCAGCAGTTTTTTCTCTGAGTGAGGTTCAATGACCTGTACAGTTGTCTGTAACTACTGACATAACCATTCTTAACCCTGCCAACCAAGCTCTGACAGGTTCGGTTTATTTTGATAAAAATAATGATCATCATTGAGGAACGAACTTAAGTTGGCAGAAACACTTTGTTGTTACTACTGAAGCGTGTCACGTTCTTACTCCTCACACCTCAGCCCTCCTCTTCTTCGGTAACTTTCCCTCCCAGCACCTGTGTGTTCTCTGCCCCATATTATCTGTGCCTGACTGCTGAGTAACTGCGGCTGGTTATTTCAGTGCAGTAGGTCTGTCAGTTCTGGTCCAGTGGCAGCCAGTCCGGGTCAGACGTCTGACCTCGGATCTGCTTCAACACCTCTCAGCTGAGAGAAACGGCTGCATGACTGGGCCGGCAGTCATGCAGCGATAATAGTGTGTGTGTTGTCATAATTGGATGTGATGCATTGGTATTCCACCATGATTTCATTTATTTATGTGGAATCTTCTCACTTTAACATCACTGTCTATAGTTTCATTTTAACGTTCAACACTTTAATATGTTGACACCTGACAATCAAACATGCCACAGTCACACTTCCACCTAATCAGCTTGATTGACAGGTGATTTTTGGGATGAGACTAAATTTAAAAAAATCAGATTTCCCAGATCACCACTTCTGCCGAAACAGAAAGATTTACAGTGCAAGCCTCTAAAAACACAGACAAAATCAATCTGTGCTGTTCAAATGACCGACTAATCAATGTCTGTAGGAGTCACTGCTCTTCTCTGAGTGTGTCTGTGTGTGAGTGTGTGTGACTCACGCAGGTGCGCAGGCAGCCTGGCAGGCTCGTCCTCCATTCGGCTGGCTGGCCTCGCGGCGGGAGCATGGACGGGGGAGGAAGTGGAGTTTGGCAGCGGGTTCGCGGAAGGACTGAAAGAGCTCCTCTCCTGCTATGAATAGACACAGAGACACAAAGCATGGCTCACAAAGCTCCACAACGCACCGGCCCTGAACCCAAACAGCCCCACGCCGACTCGCCTCACCTCGCCATGCACCCACAGCATCGACTGGCCTTGGTCTCATCTCCACGCAGTGTGCTGTACACTGTGCGCTTCTTATACAATGATGCACCGGCCAGTCGAGCTGTGGAAGCACATTCTGGAGGCAACAATGCAAGAATATAACCTCAGTCTGTTCAACCATGCGTCAGTTAAAAAAAATTTAATATAACAATAATATGAGAGCAACAAATGTAAGAGGCTGGAACCAGTGAATGTTTGTTTAAATCAAAAACACGTCAGATCTATTATCGGATCGACTTTTTGGTAGTTGACTAATCAAATCATTTCAGCTGCACAAATATTTGATTGCCACACTCTCCGCCTCCATCTAAGTGGCACTCTCATTATTTTTATTGATAAATCTTTCCTTTCATGTGTGAAACCATCATTTACTAAATCTGAAAGCTGTAAACAATAAAGCTCCCAGACCTTCATGTAGCATCAACTATTTTAGATAATCAATATATTGTTGAAGTTTTTCTGAAGCAAAAACACGAACATCTAAAACTTCAAAATTTTCCAATTTACTTTGTCCATCGTATAAAAATGTAATATCTCTGGCTGTTGGACTGTTTGCTGGGAGGAAACAGATGTTATCTTCACTACTTTAATCACTCACTCATTAACTGATCAGTTTAGAAAATGATCAGCAGATAAACCAAAATGCATTTAAAATGACCCTTGTGGATTTCTGAGCTGAATTCAACAGTGATTAAGATTTTTTCTATTTATGGAAAACTATTCATTTTTAATTCCATGAACATAAACAGCGTGTCTGAAGAGTAAAGCAGGCTCTTTTGCAAGCAAGCATAGCACAGGTCAGATGTGGTTGCAACAGTTGGTTGTGGTTGCAACCAACTTTAAACAAAACATTTTCTTAAGCAACTTTGTAAATATAACTTTTATTAACAGTTAGATTCAGTACATACACGTGTACAGACATCCGTGTTTTTGTACTGAAGAGTTTAAAGTGAACTAAAACTGCCTTTGTGTTAAATCACATCACAGCTTTTAATAATCGATCAGTCTGTCAAGTCAGTCACAGAGGCAGATCCAGGAGCGGGCTGAGCGGACCCCTTGCTGAAATCTGGTTGTCCCCTGAAGTGCCTGTGTCCTGTCAGTTCTTTTCTTTTTTTCAAAAAAGAAAAGAACTACTGATAATAAATATAGCAATTTGGTTTAATTGTTATTTTCTAATCTTTTTTGAAGGACACAATGTGCTTGAACAAGAAACCATTTTCAAAATCTATCCAATGATAAGTGTCTTTGCTCAAAGCTATACAGAAAACAGTAAACAAGTAATTACTTCAATGTGTGAATCAGAATTTGTGCATAGCTGTTGGACATACAGTACAATGTCCTCTGTGTTAATTGTGGCCCCTGATTTAGAAAAATCCTGGATCCACCACTGGTCAGTCATCAAGCAAGAATACCACTGGTGGTTTTATCTTCTTAAATGTGAAGATTCTCTATATTTTCTAGGACTCTTGATTCGATCTCTTTGTAGTCTGGAATATTGATCAGACAAAACTAGCTATATTTTATACTGTATGTCACTTGTGGAACATTTTGATGGGCATTTCTTGAACAATATTTTTAAACCAAATGATAAATAGGACAACTACTCATCAGGTAAAGTCATTAATGATATCAGTTATTAGCTGCAGTCCTCTCCAGGACGTTGTGGCAGCTCTGCTGTTGTTTCAGCACTTATTGAGTCTGGGCTAAGGTATGAGATTTTCCACTTTGTGGTCATTCTCTGTTGACTGGTTTCCTTTCCTTCAAATGAGGACAGACCATGAAGCCATCTCTGTTTCACGAGGAAACGAAGCTCAGTCCTTTACCCGTTTCTCCCGCCAGTTTGAGTCTGCTGTCACCAGCCAGCCACTCTGAGACCTGCACACCAACTCGATGTACCAGGAATTTCCTGTGGAAGCCAAGCAATAATCTTTCAGTCTTCTATTTCCTCCTCTCTGAGGCGAAGGCTTCTCTCTCTCTCTGTCTCCCGCCTGCTTCATGACCACTTTCTCAAAAATGTCCAGAAAAGGACGAACTCTCCTCTCTTCCATCCCCACAGCTGGGCCTGGGTCAGTTTAGTGGGAAGGGGTCAGTAAGGACGGAGCGAAGAGAGAAGGGAAAGTGATTTGTGATGGATCTGGATTGCAGGGTGAAGGTGAGGGGGAGTCCTGTCTACAACGATGGAAAACTTCTCTGACAGCGAACCGCTGGCCTTTCCTCTGCGTGGCTGCAATCGTGCAGTGACATCAGACTCAGTAATTAGCAGACGTCCCTCATAAACAAAACAGAACACCAGACTTCACTGTGAAGTCAGCAGGGAGCTTGCAGTGTTTTCAGTCATTTCAGACTGAGTTTGACATCCCAAATTATATTTCTGTGTTTTTATTAGGGCTCACAATAATGCCAGTGTCAGCCATTCACAAATTATTTTTTATGAACAAAATGCCCATTCTTCTGAAACCATAAGTTGACAACTTCAAATGTCTTGTTTTGTCCGAGCAACAATTCAAAACCCAAAGATATTCAAATTTAAAGAACAGAAGAAACACATTAGCAGCAAATCCTCAGGTTTTAAGAGCCTGGACCAGCAAATATTCAACATTTTTACTCAACTGAACTGTAACGTTTAATCGATCATCAAAACTGCAGCAGAGCAGATTCATTCTACCAAGGCCCAACATTTCTCTTTTGAAACCACATTCGAATTCACTAGATCAACATTTTTTATTCAGATACATATCAGTCACCTAAACATGTAATGTCCAAAAACTCCATATTCTAACATGTTAGAGAGAGAGGGGGAAAAAACTCCTGGCTCTGCCCCCTGATGCAGATCCACACACCAAACTTTAACGTGTCTACTCTCGGCCAATGTCCCACATTCTTCCACTGAGTTTTCAACATTCAGTAGTTCTTTGCGTGATCTTGTGAATTTAAATGCGGTTTCACAAGGGGGCTGTTGTGCAATTGTACTGTAATTCAGTAGTAACAATGAAAGTAAGTGTTAGTTCATAAAAGATGAACAGGAAAGCATCACATTAAATCAGCTAGAATTTGCAAATATTAGCATTTCTGCCAAATAAATGGGAATTAATCGATCAACTGTGCAATTCAATAGCTCACTCTGTTTCACTGTATATATCCTGTGCACACTATATATATATATTCTATTTACACTATATATTATTTCTATTCATTTATATTTCCTTGCGTTTATATTTCATGCTTACTGATTATTGATTTAGTGATGTCGGTTTTTGTCCTCTTTGCTGCACATTTCATGTGGGACTAAAAAAGGATTGTCTGATCTGATCTGATTCATTCATGTATAATAAGTATGTAGTAAATGTAAGGATCGGTGACCCTGGTGTTGTCAGTGCTGCATCACAGTATTAGTGCATGTGTCAGGAGCCATGTGAGGTTAACAGCTCCCGTCCCCCGGTGTTTGGTGGCGACTGCACGAGCACGCGGTTTGAAACGAGCACGAAAATAAAGCGATAATAACGTGTGCTTCACGAACACGCTCGCGCGCCGGCTCCGGTCACTTCTCTCCAATGCGCGCGGACGTGAGCGAAGTGAAGCGGTCACGACTCGTGTCCCCCTCCGCCGCGGACTGAGCGTGGAGCAACAGATGAGTACGAACACGGAGTGAATGGCGCTGAGCACACACACACACACACACACACACAGCAGTGTTACTGAAGGGGGGGATATCTAACACACACCCGCACATATATACACACACACAGACACACAAGAGAGATAGTCCCTGCAGGAACATCACACACAGCCGTTAAAACTAAGAGCGTTGATAACAAGAAGAAGAAGGTGTGTGTCTGTGTCTGTGTGTGTGTGTGTGTGAGAAAGGACAACAAAGGAGAGGACGGTGTTACCTTGGTCGCAGCGGAGGAGGATTCAGACATTATCTCCCGTCAACTTCTCTGCTTCCACTTCTCCGTCGTCTCTCTTGTTCTTCTTCTTCTTCTGCTCCAGCAGCAGTGGGGCTGCTCGGCTCGTCACTGTGGGACAAGTAGTTTCTCCTCTTCTGTCATTTAGTCCCTCTTCTTCTTCTTCTTCTTCTTCTTCTATCTGCTGCTCGGGTCCATGGCGCGGCTTCTGTCCGCAGCGTGAAAACTTCTTTTGTCTCTGCGAGTGTTTTCCTTCACATGTCGGCGGCAGCGCGCTGGTTAATAATCCCTTCCTGGAAGAGAGAGAGAGAGAGGCGCGCACACACACTCTCTCTCTCTCACTCTGCTCTTTCTCTGAGTCTCTCTCTCTCTCTGCCCCCCCTTGCTCTCTCTTCTCTCTCTCTGAGTCTATCTCGTTCTCTCTCTCTCTCTCTCTCTCTGCTCTCTCTCTCCCCCTCCCTCTCTATCCCCTTCTCTCTCTCTCCCTCTCTATTCCCTTCTCTTTCTCTCTGWGTCTCTCTCTCTCCCTCTCTCTCTCTCTCTCTCTCTCTCATTGATCTGGATGTGTGTAAAACGGCGAAATGACGTGAATTCCCAGCATCGAGCCTTGCCCCCATTTAAAGGGAAACCCGAAGCAGGAAATCGCAGCAGGTCGCACACACACACACACACACATGCACACGCACGCACTTACACACGCGCACATAGGTTTGCGCTACTACTCTTGTTAGGACACTGCACGGGTCCTAAAGAGGGAACAGAAACGAGTACACACACAAAAAACCTTAGTACTATCTTAGTGAGGACACTCATGGACATACTGCGTTTCCTAGCCCCTTACCTTGACTTTGATCTTCTCATGGAGAGAACTTATACTCTAAAGTTGTTACTGCAGTAATAACACGTGTTTGTGTCCCCACCTGTGACTGTGACACTTGAACTCTCCATGGCCAGTAAGGGTCATACCGTACACACTTCAATTGTAAATATCTTATCGCTCATTACACAACTCTCCTCTATAGTGTTTACTACATATTGCACAGTCCTTGTCTAGTGTTTAAAATATTTGTGTATTGTTTGCTTTGTTTCCCTTCACTAAACACACCACAGCAAATTCCTACTTGGCAATAAACCCAGATTATTGGTACAAATGCATACAATGATTAATATGATGACCTTATCCTTAATGACCAATCTCTACCTTACACCCCTATCTTTAGCCAAGCCCTCAGAAATGATGTTTTGTCTCATTAGGTTTGAGCTTTGGTCCCTTTGAGGTCTACTGGTCCTGACAAGGTGAGAGTTTATTCTGGGAAAGGTCCCTAAAGAGGCACCAAGAATGTGTTCACTCACACTTGTCTGAATGGTTTTTCTCTGTGTTTATGTTATCGTCCTTTAGGATATTAAGACTCAATGAGAGGAATTCTTTTTTAAATAATACTTATAAAGCCAGATACCACATAAAATGTCACTGTCAAGTCCCCTTCACTAATGAAAGACAATATAAAAGGCACAGGTTACTGTAAGTAGTGGTTATTGGATTACATGAATATTAGACAAAAGTGAATACTAAATACTTTAAAATAGTCTAATTGTTTTCAAGGTGATTCTCCAAATCAACACATCAAGTTGTCATGGAAGTTGAAAGGCTTCTTTTATGTTATCAGCAAGATTTTTCACTTATTGATGAAGATTTTTAAACTCAATAAAGTAGTAATTACTAAAGCACATTCAGCAGCTGAATGGTAAAAGTTTAAAGTTAAAGTTTAAATTCCATGTACTAGATTTTAATCCTGAAGTAGCGATTAACACTTTCACATTAAAAGCAAATTAAGAGTGAATTAAATGACCACAGTGAACCTTTCCATTCTGCAGATACTTTCAGCTTTGCAGAACGTTTTAGCTTCTTTTAGCTCATTGTTTGCATTTTACGATTCAGCCACAGACTGTATATAAAGTTGTACAACATGACCGCTCTCCTAAAGTGAAGAGACTTGATCGTCAACCAGTGGCTAACTGCATTATAGGTTCTAAACCCCTCCTCATCCATGTTACTGGATAGGACATGGGCCAAACTTGGTTGATGTTTTAATGAAACATCATGATTGACAGCTTAGACTGCCTCACAATAGGTTGAGGGAAGTATAGGCGGGACCTTGCTACCGCAGCTCCTTCCCTTGATCGCTACTGCACAGACTCAGGCTCCAAATGATGTGTGCGCCAGAAGATGGTAGTGTTCGTCTACAGGATATTTATGCTTCATTTCTTGATAGATGGAGGAAGTGAAGACTCATCGTCACACATATACACTCTTAGGTTCAAGCTTCTATCAACCTCATGTTTTTTTTAAACCTAGTGTTCAATTCATCATGAATGCTGATGCTCCTCTGTCTGGTTGTGCTCATAGGAAATCCAGTTGTTTGCTACTTACAAAGACTTCATTGATTAATAGTATCTTTTATTCACATCCTGTTCACCACTTGGACAAAAAAGCAAATAGCTCCACTGTCAGTCCTTCAATTGATTCAACTTCACCAGCAGAAGTTTTTCTTTATAGATAAAGATAACATTAATCAGCATTTATCAGCAGTGAGTACTGTCAGAAGTTATGGTTTAAAGTTTCCCATGGGTGTTTATTGGGATGAGACCTGGTAACGGACACCATCAGACTTCCCAGTGATCCCTCGTGGGGTGTGGGAGCACCTGACACATGACAAGGGTCCCTGGACTCAAACTGAACACCTCTTGATAATGTGCTGTGCATATTATATCGCTCGGCTGTGAGTACGTACTTAACTGTCGTCAGCCTCCAGGCTGGATTGCTTCAAAGCCCAAAACAGGAAGAGAAAGAATGCTGTTCTTCCAGGGCAATGAAACCTAAACCGTCCAGAGTTACTGGTGACAGCAGACGGGTGGAGGGAGTAAGGGGCAAAAGAGAAATATGGAAAAGTCACTTCCAGCATGTATAGATTATCAAAGGAGGGGGTCAGGGGCAGGAAGCAATGAGGCTGATGGGAAATGTGCTCCAAGGTAAATGCAGATGAGTGACGCTGATGGATGATGACTACATCCTGATGTTTCAGAGGACTGATCAATGATTTGACTTCCATGTTTTTATTTGATTTTATTTAGTTATTTATATGGTGCAGATGTGCAGGATGTTTTTTTTTTTTACATTGAACTTTAAATATTACATTAACTTTAACACTTCCACCAATGTCCCTGCAATTTGCTGCAGATCCCCCCAAAATCTATTTAATATTTAATATGCATTTTAGTTTTTGTGTGTTTTTGAGCTGCAAAATAAAAATTATACATTTGTATTTATCTCCCTAGCGTAGCTGGTATGAGCCAATTTGACACTTTGACTTTGTTATCTGCGTGGGAAAAAAACTAAAATGCATTGAATCAGATTCAGTGTTTTCACTAAAACGTGACGAAGTGTGGGCAGGATGCATTCTGTCTTTGAAGTAGGCAGATTTTTTTTAGCTGTTGGGATTGACAGATTACATTAATGGGATTACAGTAATCAGATTTAACAAAGTGACAAATGTAATCCTACACGCCTGGCGTAAAAAACACTTTAATCAGAGAGAATAAGGAATGACAGTAAATGCAGAGAGCATTTAGATTAATGAATAAAAATAGATTTCATGTTGCTTTTCTGACATCACATGGTTGAAGAAGGATTTAAACCAGTTAAAATAGTCTGTGGGCTTTAAATTATTCAGTAAGTTAACTGCATTAAAATGACACCAATATATTTGGTATTATATCTATTTAATGTTTTATTGAATATAGCCAAGTCCCTTGGTGTTTCTTTTTGTGGTCACTGGAGAAAAGATGCAAGTAAATGCTTTTAACATTGTTCTTTATTCCCAGGTGGAGGGACACTGAGGAAAGATGGATGGATTGATTGATGGATGGATAGAAAGATGCAGTAAGTTATCAGGCACATAACATGTAATAATAAGATCCAAAACTATACAAATAAATGACAAAAATTAAAAAGCTAAATATCCACACATATGTTTGTGTTTATATATATATTTTGTATATTTTAATTTTGAAATAAAAATACTAATGACACATTTGCCTTTATTAAGTAATAAATTATGAAACATGTCTATTAATAAGACACATTTCTAATATCTGTGTTGAAACCTCTTTATATACAGTCTATGGTTGAAACAGGTCTCTATGAAGTCCTATAACACCGTGACACCCCCTGGCGGACGGATGCGGCGCTGCAGCATTATCAGCTGAGAAGTGTTAAGTTTCGGTTTCTTTTACTCGGAAACGACAGTGAACTCTCCTCCCCCCCTTGAAGGCAGCAGACTTCAAGTCTCCTGCTGCAAAGGGACAGACAGAGATGGAGGAGTCAGACATTTTCAAGTTCATCTGCGCCAACAGAGGAGCGGTGCACACCGAGGACCTGTATAACGTGGGCTCCGCCAACGTGTCGCAGATCATCGGCAGGAGTGAGAGGTTCCTCCTGTGTGGAGGAGTCGGGGGGCAGCAGCAGGAGGTGGTGGTGGCCAGGACCAGTCTGAGGCTGTGCAGGGCCAGGGACTGTCCAGGGACATGTTCGAAACTCCACCTGTGTAAACACTTCCTCTTCAGCGGCTCGTGCTCCTTCAGGTAAACAACACGTGTTTGTTTACACTCTAAACAACAACAGGCCACTCTGAGGTTCGATGATCAAATCTCAATCCGGTCTGTTGTTGGGCACTTAAATGTAGTCTACAGACACCTGGGTGGGTTTAAAGTAGTTAGTACTGGTCAGATCATTATCCCCATCACTTTGAGTGTGTGTTTGAATCGCCAGAGGCTCGTTTCCTTGTCCCAGTTTGATGCATCGTAAATGGCGTTTTGTGTTGACCTAGTGTTAAAGGCCTTGACACGCAAACAGTTGACGCTTCCGGACTTCATTTCAAAGTCTGCATTCTCGGTGTAGGACCGGTTTAACACAACAGCTGGAAATGTGATCGCATATCAGATCTATTATTTTTTTTACTTTGGCTCAAAGTAAATGAAGTTTAAGAAAAACACAATTTATGGAATATCCTGATTATGTGGGGGAATTGACGCCCTCTGGTGGAGAGTTAAAGAATGATACATTAAAAGAAGCTGTCATGTTGGTTAGCAAACAATGTCAGAGCAGCTGTGACTTGCAACCTTACAGTATCAACTGTATTAAAAGATTAAAGGCGGGGCAGCCCCAAAAGGGAAGCCCAAATATCCTGATCGTCCCCTGGTGGCTGGTTGTGGTATAGGTGTTAAATCCAGCCTCCCCAGGTCAACTGATGGGACATCCAGAACACGTCAAATTATTCAGTATTTTCTCAAACACAGTTTATGTCAATTTAGGGAGTTCTTATCCCGCAGATGTCTATTTTTTCTCGTATATTAGGTCATCATATCGGGGATATTTTGGTTTCATTTCTGGATAATGGGAGGAAATGGAGTAGTGTCATCCATCTTTACTTACTGTCTATGATTGCGATCAGTGCAAGCTCCTGCTTGCTAACACGCTGCACATTTCATACAAATCTACACATAACTTGAATCTTTGCACACCAGGCTGCAAATAAATATGTTTCCCAAGACTTCAAACTATTCATTAGATAGTAAAAGTTTGTTCCAGTGTGCCTGTCAAATTGCGAGCTTAAAGATGAATGACAAGCCTAAACATCTTGATGGCTCCCTTTATGGCCATAAACCCAGCCTCCCCCATGTTAGTGGATGGGACATGGACCAAACCAAAAAGTAAAAAACCACACCAAATAGCTTTTTTCTGATGATTGTTTCAAATATTTAGATATTTATCACCCTGATGTATGTTCAAATTTAAATTTTTTCCTGAAAGTTTGTTTTTAATTAGTTATTTGATGTGAAAAATGTGGTGACTGACTCACTATTGGAGTTGAGGTCGGCTCCACTCTTTTTACCTCACATCTCTGATGCAATTGTGACCATTAACCTTGTTATTGGTGATTAGTCTTTTACGGGTCAGGAGTAAAGACACAACTGAACATGTTCAGTACCTCTTTGTAGGTGATTCACCAAATCCTCCCTAATCCTCCATATTTAGTATGAATTTTAACATTTTATAACAGGTTTAGAACATTTTTCTCCACAACAGACAGAAATTGAAACTAACATTAGTTAGCCAACATTACGTTCTACATTTTTGTGTTAGAAATAATTTTCTGAAAATGAAATATATATAAAAAAACATTACTATGAAATAAAAGTTTCAACCCCATTTCTAGTGGTCTTGGAGCATGTACAGAAATGTCTACAGTATATTTAGAATCGAAACTCTTGGTCTTAGTGTGTTGTCGTTTTATGACAGGGGGCGATGCAACTTCTCCCATGAGCTGAACACTGACCACAATGAAAGGGTGCGGAGGGACCATAAAGTGGAGAGTCTGAGCAGGACAGAGCTGTGCACACTGCTGCTGCAGAACGAGCACACGCTCTTGCCTTCTGTAAGTCTGACAACACACACAAGGTGTATCCACATTGTTTCATCAGTCTCAGTGTATGTACGGGAACATAGGTGCTCATGAATGTGGTTGCTGGAGACCTTAAGCCATGGACGCTTGATGTAACTAGGTGCAGTCTTTTCCTAAACAAAAGGTGTCGCTGCTGAGAAACATACGACACCAGAAAAGAAGACAATGTGTACCCAGACAGAACAATTTTTGGCAGTGGCTTGTTTCCTTCTGGAGCACTGCTTCAGTCTTGTACGCACTTCTTTTCCTTGACAAGTAGCGGAGGTACCTCGTCTTTCCCAACAGTCTCTGCAAAGGAGCCTTGTGGGAATCTCTATGCTTCCTCATTACTGAGGGGTCAGAGATGTCTGTTGAAACATACTTGTTCACAGACTCTTGCCTCCAGCACAGTCCATGTTGAGCTAGTTGCTGCATTTGCCCTTCAGGGGTAAATGGTGTTGCAGTCAAATCCAATACAATTGAAGTAAATGGAGACTTATTCTTCAAACAAACAGAGAAAAACATAAAATGCCTCCATATTTCCCCCCCGTGGTGTCCTTCAAGTGTCCATAAGCCCCCACATTCAAATTCCATTCAAAACGTTGTCATTTCCACCATGTTTTTAGCGTTAATGTCCTCTGATGATCACTGGCTAAAACATGGTGTAAATGATGGGTTTTGAGTGGAATTTCAATGTCGAGGCTTACGGACAATAGTTTGAAAACAGCATTCTTATTGCCTTAACCTGAATAAGGTCTTACGGAATAAGGTATCAAATCAAATCAATAATCAAATTAAGCGTGTGGAGTATTCTGACCTTTGTCACATTATGTTGATGTGTACATCTTAATCATATTAAACCTGGGTGTAAACAAGATGAAAAAATACAAAGGAGTTGTAGCTTTTCCAAAATTAGAAAGAAAACACACTAAATGATACATGGTAGCATCGTACATATAACTATTTCAGGTTGGGCTTTTAAAACTGGCAAAGGTAAAGGTACCGTGGACATAATGATGTGAGTCATAATCAGATTATGCTCTGTAACATGTAAATATGAATGGAATATTCTATCAGCAACACATGAGAACACCATGATCAATATCTTATTCTGAACAGGGTCAGTAGCCTGATTGTATGCGTCCATGTAAATGTAGTTATCAGTTTGTTGACTTGATCAGCGCTCATGTTTAGTTGGAGAACATAAAGGAGTTGTTCTCTGAGCCACCTTTTTCCTCATCCTTCTTCTGACAGATATGTCACGATTACAACAACGGCGATGGAGAGTTTGGCCGGTGTCAGGGTGGATTTGGCTGCGAAAGACTGCACATCTGCGAGCGGTATTTGATGGGGAACTGCAGCTGCTACAGGACTCATGATTTCAATGCTCCACAGCCACTGAAAATCCTGAAGGATAAAGATGTGCCTGACGAAATCATCCTCTCCTTGAAGTTCGTCTACAGAAACAAAGAAGCTTTAAGGTTGTCTGGCCACAGGGGCAATCGTCACGGGCAGCAACCAAGGTCTTCTACCAGTGATGGCTATGCTGCTGCCAACTTTACTGGCACTAGCAGTCTGAATTTCACACCAAGCTACAGAGGACGAGGCGGTTTCCGGGGAAACAGGGGCAACTTTGGCAACAGGGGAATTCGGGGCAATAGGGGAAATTGGGGCAATAGGGGAAATTGGAGCAATAGGGGAGTCCGGGGGAACAGGGGAATTCAGGGCAACAGGGGAAACCAGGATGGCCTTAAACAGCTTCAACGATCCGGTTCCACTAGTGACATCCTCGTTGATCTCGATGACCTCGATGACTTAGATCTGTACACCGAAGATGGACTTAGCCAAGGCGACAGTGAGCAGCAACAACTAAACTCTTCCTCCAACACTGATGCGAACAGCGACAATGGGAGAGGTGGTTACAAGGGCAACTCTGGAAACAGGGGCAATGGGAGAAACAGGGGAAACAGGGGCAGCAGGGGAAACCAGGGTGACCTCCAACAGCGGCACAGATCCTCTTCCTCTGGTGACCTCCTCTCTGAATTCGATACCTTAGATCTCTGCAGTTCTATAGAATGGACTGAAGACTTAGCAGGTGCGGTGGGAGGCTCAGAAGTGATGGGTGGTTACAAGGGCAACCAGGGAAACAGGGGCAACTATCAACCACTGCAGAAAACCAACAATGATGACCCAAACAAGAGACCAAGACAATGGCCTGTCAGAGGTAAACATCATCAGCTGCAGGGTAAATTCAACCTGTTGTCTAAAATCTAAATTAAACCTCACTTTGCATTTCGTTTGTTTCCTTCAGATAAAACTGAGATCTGTCTTTATTTCATCAAAGGACACTGTAAACATGAGGGTGAGTAATCGATAAGAAATCATATATTATCATCGTCAGCATACGTGTGTGTTATCGTCTCATGGCTTTTAAACCGATGTGTCCTCAGATAAGTGTTTCAAAGCTCATGACAAGATGCCGTACAGGTGGGAGGTCAGAGAGGGGAATCAGTGGACTGCCCTGCCCGACAATGAGGCGATTGAAAAGGACTTCTGTGACCCCCAAAACTCATACAGGTACTCTCAGCTCACATCCAGTAGGATTGAACAACAGTTCTGTAATTCTGGGATGATGCTTTTCTTATGCCTGGTCCACACTGGGTGTGTGTGCAGCGTGTGACGGCTGTGTAGCTGATCTGCTGCATCTTGCACACATCTGTTCACACAGGGAGAATTTACCATCATGCATTTTACCTTTCCCGCTTGTATTTCAGTAAATCGCAAAGTATTTCATCAGTTACATTTTTAAACAATGACATTGGGTAAATACATGCAAATGTAACACCCAGTCTTAAAGGTATATAGACGCAGATGTCATACGAGGTCTTAGATATATGCACGCTGGTGTTGCATGTGCATTCTGGTTAAAGAATGAGGTGCGATTGTAAAAATAAATCCTTACAATTTAAATCACTACAAGTAATATTTCAACTTTCATACACCTGAAAGATAAAATAATAATATACGTATGAAATTACCCTTTTTTTAATGATGATGAGCTGTGTGTAACTATATAGTTCACCTGATTTAAACTAATTTGTTTTCTGTCATTAGTGGTACTACCCAGCCTGTACATTTTGACACGATGACCTGCGGACCCAACAAAGTGCGACGACTCTCCACCGCTAACTCTGTGGCTGAGCCGACCTACATGTACACCACCGAGTGGGTCTGGTACTGGGAGGATGAGTTAGGAAAGTGGAACGCGTACGCTTCATCCGTGAGTAACTGACTCAGACTCCTTGTCAGGTTGTGAGGTAGTGCCAGTAAGAATAAGGAGTAGAATCAAAAGAGAGAGAAGGCTGAGACGTGCTGTCCTCTCTCCTCATGGCTCTTTTTTCTTCTGGTCAGTGCCACCAGCTCAATGCATGATGGTATATATTGCTTGATAAGTGGCCATCAGTCACTAAGTTTAGTGTCTTACTCTGAAGTGAAGATTGTGATGTGATTTGAGTCTTCTCAATTATCTGAGCTGCACTGGCTGTGGGCCATGTGGACTCTGACAGGTGTCGTGTCACTGTTGTAGCAGAGTCACACCAGGACTGAACTTTGCACTTCTTCCTTCCCACCCAAGATCCAGTAAACCTGCACGGAACTGACCAGCTTTACATAACCCAGCAGTTCTTATGTTTACAGTAAACATTTCTTCTTTCCATGCTGTTATTCTTTGCTGGAGCTGCTCACCATTAAAGTTTTAATCCTCTCCTTTAAGCGTCTACATCCACACAAACAAATCAAAAGAGGCAGAGAGGCTGTGTGGCTGTGTGGCTGCATCTCTGAGGAAAGAGATAAGTAGCAGCAGCACAGATTGTATCCAGATTCCATAAATTGAAAATTTGTCATGCACCACATTGAACTTCTGAGCAGAATAATACAGTTTTAATATGGTGGAGCTGCTTCAACTTACTGACTAACTAGACCATCAGTTGTCAAACTGTCAGAGTTTTCAAAGTTTCCTTCTGATTCGAGTTTATCTGAGTTTATCTAACTCATTAATTCACTGCATCTAAACAAGGCTCTTCAGTTAGAATCAGGTTTACTGGCCAAGCTTGTGAACACAGTGAATGTGACTGTTCTGTGTTTCTCCATAGAGAAGAATTAGCAGAACCAGGATAAATAGAATAATGAAATTATGTCATGTCAAATAACTGTTATTTATATATCTCAACATCACAAAATCAAAACGTTGCCTCAAGGTGCTTCACTATCTGTACAGCAAACCACTTCCTACGATCATAGACCTTCAGCTCGGACAAGGAACAGCTCCCATCAAATTCATTTATCTCATCTTTTTATTGTGTTATTTTTTCATTCATATTATTTATAGATTCAATTCCACATTTAACTCCCTTGGATCTATTCTTTGTCTGTTTGTATGTTATAAAATTAAACCTTACTACTTTTATACTAGAAGTGAGAAGAAGCTAATAACAAATCAACACGAATTGTATGTGAGATGTGACGCTCTGTCAATAGGACATATAAAACACACTTGCGTATACACACATACACGCATGTGTATAGTGTCAGTTTTGTCAACAAGTGGGAGATCAGGTCATTGTTGGAAATTCAATCAGAGGCAAAAATAACTTTTTTTGCTGTTGAAACATTTTGAAAAGACCCAAATGCAAGAGAACATAATGTTTGTGTCTGATGGCTCAGTACCACCCCCGCCTAATTTGACGGCCTGGAAAAACCCTGAGATAGGGACAGACAGAGGGAGAGAGAGGGAGCTGCGAGCTACAGACGGCTGTGTTATTTCGTTGTAGTTAAAAACAAGTTTGCTAAATAAGGCTTCTGGTTTTTTGTGTGCTCTGATTAGGCAATTAAATGTATTTCTTGATCCTTATGTCGTTGCTATTATTTCAGTTTGAAACGTTATTGACAGTATTAACTACCTGTAGTAATAACAGTAGGATGATTTTCACAGTACTGGACTGGTACGCACTGGAAAATAGGAGTCCCCTGAAAGCCACTGTGTAATTCAAACCATGCTCATTCCAAACCAAGTAGCTCCTGATTGTTCATCTTAAAAATGAGATTGGTTTTGTGGCGATCACAGAACATATTCATCTTGGTTTGCAGACTGGAGGACACAAGGCAGCAGACATGGACAGCTCTGAGCTGGAGAAGAAGTTTCTGGTCAACGCCAGTGACGTGGTGGACTTTACCGCTGATTCACAGTTGTATTCACTCAGTTTCCAGGGTAGAGAAAGATAATGCAAATGAGCATCATGTTTACAGTTATGAAATATTTAGGTGGGATTACAAGGATGTTCTTTTTTTTTTTATCTCAGACATGATACAAACAAACAAGCATTATAACACAAAAAGGCTCGTGAGGAGACGGCCCCGGTTCGTCTCTGCAGTCGATATCCAAACAAAGAGAGTGAGGTATGCACCGCATCCCACATATAGTGAGTCAGCCTATTTCATCCATATGGACAAACTAACCTTGGTTTGCTGTGTGTCTACAGGAGGCCTTTGTTAGCCACAAACTTTTTTCCTGTACCAGACCACTGGGACAAGACACTGATTCCTACAACAGGATACAAGGTATTGTGAATACACTACATGTTCCAACTGAACACTGCTCTTAGAGCTTGGGTGAATAGTGACCTCCCATCTGGATCATTCCACATCACCAGCTGTGTGGATTAGAGGTCTTGTTGAAAACAGTTGCAATACTTATTAATATAATATTTGGCATTTTTATCCAGTTTCTCAAACGCAGTGCTTATGTGAGTATGAGGGTTTGTATTCCACTAGAAAGATGAAAAAACTACTTACCTGGATATCTCCTGACTTATGTCTGCACCAATTCTGTGGATGGTGCAGGTGAGGAGGGCCCCAATCCTCATCCTCTGGACAGAGACTCCTCTGTCTCTTGCTTGCAGCTCTTGTGTGTATGCATAGGTTTTTTAAGGCATTCTTCTTTTTATATAGTTTTCTGAAGCTGAAATCACAGTTTTGTATGAAAGTGATAACTTGTACTTTTATTGAATCTTTTTATTTGGGTTCGTCACAGACAAGTTAACAATATAAACAAAAACAAAAAAATGCCCTATCAAAATAAAAGAGAATAATGATTTCTCTAAGTTGTGTTCACACTGAACTTGGGAAAGATAATCTTCTGTGCTGTGTTTTTTTTTCTCCAGCGGGTCTCCGTGCAGCGCTTCTCAGTGGAATATAAGGAGATTAAAGATCTGTTCTGTGAAACCATGAGAGGCTTTGACATCGTGGCAATCGAGAGGATTCAGAACAAAGCACTGTGGGAAAGCTTTCAGTTGTACGTATGGTGAACTTACCTTTCAAACACTTCCTACTGATCGGTTGTGAGTTTAATTTCTGTCTTGTCATTGCATCCGTTCTGGTCCCTGTCTTGTGATTTAACCTTTGAAAGTAGAACTGACAAATGAAAAGTGGACACAGACAAGCTTAATTCTGGCTAACGTCAGCTTCAGTTAGATAAATAGATTATTGCTCCTGTGACATAACTCATCTGTCAGTTTACTGACTTTATGGCCCTGTTTACACCTGGTATAAACATCTGTGATCCCATCACAAGTGGACAGCTCTAAGTACGAGTGTTCACATCTGATGTTAAAATGTGCCAGATCTCACGTCTATATGCGAATATACATTACCTCCATTTGTGTTTGCAAAGACCAAATTATGTTTATTACCCAGTCTGAGTTTAAAAATGCTTTTTGCGTGTGTTTGCACGAGTGAGATAGAGTGTGAATGGAGTCAGGAGGGGCTGAATGAATAAGATTTAACTAATTAAGTATCAATTATTATCTGTTGGTCAGTGTTGATATTATGGCTACAAACAAATCAAAGTATAGACGTTAAGAAACGTAAAGATGCATTTAAACAGTACCTGGTCAGAGGACATCAGCTGAGTAGGTGGTCTTTAATATGTGGCCCAGACCTCCTGTGAATGTTGTCGATGTGATCGGATTCATTGAGCATGAGTGTGTGGGTGCATTCAGACGGGTTTGATCACCAACCCATGCTTGAATGTTTCTTCATTTCTAAACAAAGGCAGAGGACTCAGATGAGAAACAAAAATGCTGGACGCAACGTGACCGAAAAAAAGCTCTTCCATGGCACCGACTCCAAACACGTAGATGCCATCTGCCTCACCAACTTTGACTGGAGGATCTGCGGAACTCATGGAACTGCTTTTGGCACAGGTGCGATGAAGAAATGTTGTGTTAAATTAAAAAGTATATATATTCTGTGGACATGAACAAGATTTTGTGTTAAACCATTTCTGTAATGGCAACATCACACTGCACACTCACATGTATCTGACACCGTATTATTTAAGATTGAATTTGAGACATTGGTAATTTTTAAAATCAGCAATAAATTTAAGAGCTGAAATGATGAGCCAATTTGTCAATAAGATGGTTGACAGCAAATTAAACAACAGCAGGGTTTTTGCTAATCTGTTGTTTTAAAATTTAAAAATGTCAAACATCTGCTATATTCAGCTTCACAATTGTGAGAATTTTTGTTCTTTGTCACATGTGAGGGTAAATATAATTTCTTTGGTTTAAGACATGTTGGGCACTAGGAAATTATAAACATTTTACACTCCAAACAGATGATAATTAATACATTCTGTAACCATCTGTATTACTTACATGAGCAGCTTTAGTCTCCTTGCACCTACAATACAATGTTTCCTCACATTAAAACCTAAATCTGTTGTCGCTCTCTGTTTCCAAACACAGGTAGCTACTTTGCCCGCGACGCCAATTACTCCCACTCCTACACCTGTGACTCTGACGTCAAATCCATGTTCATCTCCCGGGTGCTGGTGGGACACTACACCAAAGGTTCCTCTGACTACCGCCGACCTCCTTCCAAGGACGGCGGGGACGTAAACTTCTATGACAGCTGCGTGGATGACACCAAGAACCCGTCCATCTACGTCGTGTTCGAAAGGCAACAAATCTACCCTGAGTACCTGCTGCAGTACAAGTCCTCAGGCCTCAATGAAGTAAAGCCACCGACCGCTCCTAAACCGAGCTCTGCAAACACCAATGCTAGCTCATTATATTATCCCTCATTTGTCCGCAGCACATCAGCTCCGTCTAACACAGCTTCAAACCGACCCAGCAATTTGAGTTACAATTCCAACTCAAGCACTTACCAGTTCCAACGCGCCCGTTTTTCTTCACCTTCACCTGAAAAGGATCCGTCTAGTTCCTGTGTCATTGCTTAGGTGCAAAGGTGAAGTAAATGGTTCACACAATAGTAGAAATCCTTTTTGTTTGACATGAGAAGAGAATCGATAGAGCTCATGCAGAATGCTTTGGATAATTTGGTGCATAGATTAAAAATGGTAAGAAACTTTAAAGTGTGTAATGAGGAGTGGAGAGGTGCTTTTGAAGTTAAACTCAAATTATTAACCACACAGATAGAAACAGTAGGAAAACAGGAAATACAAATGATGAGTTGATTCACAGTAACCGGCTCAGCATTGAAATGTAACATGTTTTAAATCCAATACCTGGAATTCCTGAAAAATCTTAATCTGATCAACCAGCGTTTTGCAAATGTTAAGTGTTTATAAACAGTTAATTGGTGCTAATTGTTCAGCGAGGCACCGTTATTCCTTGCATTTCCTCTATCGCAGTTTTCTGTGGCATCCAGGTATGTTATGATGAATTAAGTTTTTATAGGTATAACAGATTCAAACCTTTCCTGCACATTAAACCTCTTCTCTGCTGTATTTCAATTTCTTCTATAATATCCACTCTCACATGAAAGTAATGTTTAGCCGTCGTTGTCTTAACACTAATAAAGGATGAAACGTGACTGCAGTTCCAATAGATGTGAGGAAATGTTAAACACCACAATCCGATTAAAACTGCTCAGCTGCTCTGTTGGATTTACTGAGACATTATTTGAATGAGGAGATGCTGCTGCACAGTACTGCAGCCAGTAGAGGGCGGTACAATCAATTGCTGACAATTCAAATATACCCGTAATGGCTTCTATCACAAAAAGGTTTTGGTTTCACACAATGTTTATTTGGGGGTGTGCAGTTATTGATTATTGACATCACCGCTTTCAGATGATGTGTAGAGTCAATTACAGTATGATTGCTCTGTCGCTGAAAATATTGTATCGTTCAAACTATTAATGTTGTGCATTAAAAATAAATAATGGGCACACTGGCTCACATTATTCCCTCTCTCTCTCTTTCTCTCTCTCGCTCTCATAAGTGAATTGAAAATGCCACCAGCGGCCGTGTCGGGGCTCTTAGTGAAATGAGGCAGGGCATGAATGATGATCAATATGGCTGCCAGTGCTTCCTGTGACATGAGACATTAGGCCTGCAAATCACCCCCCAAACACACAGAGCACACACTGGCATCCACCCCCTGTTGTGTTTCCCACCATGCTGCAGTGTATGTGAATGCATTTGCAATTTATAATGGGATGTCACTACATGACTCCTCTTTATTTCTTCTGCCTGCCATTGTCTGACTCTGCTTTATATTGAATACTAAGACATATACACACTTAACCTGTAAGCATTTCGCTTTTCCACATTTAGCTGCTTTTTGACTTTGCACAGACAGCTCTCACGCTTCGTCTCACATTTACCACCCACTACTGACAACATTACATATTTGGTTATAAAGTTCTCCCCCATGCACTCTGTGAGTGTAGTGACAAACCATAGACTGCATTTAAAGATGGGTGGAGCCGCAGATAAATGTTGACATTTCATTTTACTTTTATAGCACCAAAAATACTATTCAGAACCAAACTTAACAGAAAAATTAACTTTAAAAATGACTGGAGCAGTCTTTCAGAAAAATGTATTTAATGTGTACTTTGACTTTTTAGTTTGGTCCCATCCAAAAACATGGAGGAAGCAAGATTTATGATTGAAACTAGCCGGCCACCAGGTGGTGATCCAAACCTGCATACTTTGAGGTTGTTGGATTACCTACAGGTGTTTTTTTCGGCGATACAGCAGATTTCAAACAGACAGTTCCCGGGTGAAAATGGATTTGAGCTGTCACAGCCACTGCAGCCATTTCTCCACCACCTGTGCTTCGCATGCTTTTGCTGCCTATTAAGATGTGTCTGTCCTCTGGTAAATGCAGCTGTGCCCAGCAGGATGCAGTAGCCCACCCAGTGACAGTAAATATCCACTGACATTAACCAGCCTAAGCAGCCACTTCCTGTCTGGTGAGTGCCGCTGTGTCTTGCCCTGGCTGTTGTTTCCTTGTTGTCAGAGCGGATCTTCCAGGCCTCTGCGTATCGGGAAATCTGGTTTTCCTGCATCGCAAGAGCTTATGAATTAAAAATGACTCCCTCCCTCTTGTGTGCGTGCGTCCATCCCCCCTGGTGTTTGAGGTGTTTATGTTTCTGCTGAGTCATGGTGGTTTAGTTCCAGCTGATGGAAGAATGCTACAATGTCCAAACCCCAGGGTGGGTGGAAGTGAGTCAGATCTTTATTTGGCTGGTGGCAGGAGACGTTTTTAACAAATAACAGAGTCAGCATATCTAGTGCATGTGGAGCCTCAGTGGATCAATAAAGCACCTGTTGATCAGCTAATTGTAAAAGTTGTACAGTTGTTTTGTTAAAGTTGTTTCTGTTCCTATAAACCACGATTAGTATTCAAAGATAGATCACAAACCTGAAAGAAACTTGTCCTACTGGTGGAACCCAAAGCCAAAATATCCTGGATCCAACCACTGCCATCTTGTCCATTTGGAACCAGAGTCAGTTGTGAAGAAACACACGCGAACAATCATGAGTCAGTTCGTCTTAGCTGTCAATTATGACTTTTCACCCCGTTTTTATAGTATTAAATAATTGATGCTATATAACTTTTCTGGAAAGCATCAGTCTGTCGTCTGGTTGTGTTGTGGGACCCAGGGTGGCAAGGGACTTTTCCACAGAGGTGCCCAACATGGGGCCCAACACAGCCAGAGCCACGTTAGTTTTCTCTCTGGCTCTGATTAAGGCTTATGGAGTTTTAAGATTCCAAAATCTGTTCCTATGAACCCAGATTATGTTTAAAGAAAGTGTAATTAGAATGATAATGTTATTTACCTATGTCAAGTGCTTCTGACAAAGAGTTTCTTAGACAGGTGTGGTGGGGGAAAAGAACAGTGTTGGGTCAAGATGGAAGGTTCAATCAGCAGAAGTCCGTCCACTCCTGAAAATATCACCAACACAGGAGCGTTGATGTCGAATACTATTTGTTTGAGGAAAAAATAAAGTTGCTGTCAGTATGACTCCAGAAATCTAGAGAAAATCTAGAGAAACACTTGACTAGACTAACAATCCAACACTGCAGAAAAATGTAGGATTGGTTTGCAGGTTTTTCATCGCATGCCCATCAGCACATTTACATCTGCCACACAAGTGAGACTGATAATGGAGGCAATGGCTGAGCTCATTAGCTAACGAACAGAGTTTCAAGAGTTTTGAGATATTTTTGATTCTGAAAGTATTCAGATTAGATTCAGTTTGTTTTAAACCAATGGATTATGCTACTGATTATGAAAATTAGCATGCCATTCATATTCAGTAACTGACTGCATTTGAATGTAATCATGTAATATAATGTACGATAATAATAATACTGTAATCATCGATCTCAGTGATGATGAGGGAGCTGGAGCAATAAACACATTCATGGCACAGAGTTGGTTCTGTCATGAATTCTGACTGAAACTAAAAGAAGGACTGAAGCAGAACTGAAGCAGCTAAACTCAGATTCACACATTTATCTTATGTGTGACTCAGAGGATCATTCTGCAGTGTAACATTAAATGTGGAATTAATTAGTCCCTATCGCAGCATCTGTGAATGTGTTTGCCTCCAAAGGGCTAGAAGCTGGACCACAGCATCTCATTAAAGTGTCATTAGCACCAACACCAGCTTTGTGCATTCATTCATGAACTGAATGATTTCTTACTTCAGCTTTGTGCTTGTGATCCTGTTGTCTAAGGCAGAGTGCAGTGAGGGTTGTAAAATGCTCATGTTGTGTATATATATGTGCACATTGTGGGCGGACACATGACACATGGAGCGGCCACGTACTTTAAACTCCTCTCCATTTATGATAGACACTGTCTTTTCTCACCAATGTCGTAAAAAATGTTATTTTGTTGAAGTGCTCTGTTACATGAGCCATCTATTGCACTTCTGTCCGTCTTGAGAGAGGGATCACTCTCCAAGGTTTCTTCAATTCTGTGATTTGTGAACATGGACTATAAAAATAAATACATTTTGATTGATTAATTGATACCAAACAAACCTGTTCAATGTGATCAAATGTTTTAAAAGCTACCGAATGACAAACTGCACTTGTGCATGTATCAGTGTGCTGTGTCTATCAGACGTGTGACCACACAATGGCTTTTCTGTCATGGCACCGAACTCTCTCAACAAACAGACCAGAGCTGTTCAGTGGCGTTACAGCTGCAGACTGTGGGTTAGAAGAGATGAATGATGTTGTTATTACACACTGTTACATCAGTGACAGCTGTGGGTCGACATGCTCTCCTTCTGTGCTGAGTGCCATCATCAAATATTTACCTCTGCTGATACCAGCCTGGCAGATATCTCAATCACCTCGCTTACCAGAGATGTTTGTTGCATGAATTATCTTTTTGTCAGAAGGGTTGTAATTTCCACCATGTTTTTAGCCTAAATGTCCTGTTATCCATGCGTGAATGTGGCTCCAGAGTCCAGTTTGAATGTCAGGGCTTCCAAACCATCTTCATGACTAACAACCCTCCGTTACACTGTTTACACTTTATTTGGAAAATGTGAAAGAACTGATACACACACTCACAGTTTTTTTTTAGTAAGCACCTTGCTTTTATTTTTAATGTATCTATTGTACTGGTTTCATCTTGTCCAACACGGTTCATTGTACTGTTGACCCCATGTTAACTTGAATATGATAAATAAAACTTGAAAGTCTTATGTGAACTGACATGGTACAGCCCAGCTCTGACCAGTCTCTGGCAGTGGGCAAAGATAAATGATTAAATTA